TATGCTTAATATACGCAATTAATAGAAAAATGCATAGTAGTGAAGTGAAGAGAGAGACACTTACAGCCACAAGTTTCATAGTCTGATCTTTCTCCAGTTTCAACCTCACCACTTGAGACCTCCGATTCGAGTCCTCTGCGTTCACGAATCTCAAATTCGCGAACCGAAACGCGTTCAGTGAGTATCCAAGCACGTCGATTCCACGCGCCCAAAACGGTTTATCCCCTTTCCCACTCGGAATCAGATCCTCTATCGCCTTACCTAACCCCACCGTCGTCTCCGCCACCGTCACTTCGCCTTTTCCGCATCCATCACCCGTCGCCGCCGTCTCTTTCATAAACTCTCTTAAAAGCGTAACCGCGGAAGTCCGATCGCACGCTCCCGTGTTAAGCCGAAACGTCAGTATCCTCCTTCCTTCGCCGTCGGTTAGATCGTAGAGACTGACGAAGAACACTCCGGACTCGCCGTTCTCCCAACGGTGTGGATCGATCCATGTGTTTTTGTTGAGCTCGTGTTCTAAGATGATCCTGTGCGGTTCCGCGGAGGGATCGTCGCTTTCTCGGATGATCTGAGCCGTGGATTCGGAATCGAAGGGATTGATTTGGACGCGTGAATCGTCGGCGGAGGTTACGAAGGAGAAGGAGTTCGCCGATGCGTCGAAGCGGAGGTTTGAACGGAGTGTAGGATGGTGAATCTGGAGTTTATCGAGTGTGTTCTGGAGATTTCGGAGTTTTGGTGTTGAGGAAAGTAAGAGAGCTATGACGGCGATTCCTGTACCGCCGGTAATCGCTCTGCACCAGCTGTATTCGGTTCCTCCGACGGGTCGGGTCATGGATTCGGGTTTCCGATTCGGATCACTCATTATCTTGAGAAAGAAGAAAAGAAGAGAGATTGTCTTTTTTGGGACTCTTAAGATTTTGTTTGTTGATTAATATGGGAAGAAGAAGAAGAAGTAACAGCGACGTGCATTTTTCTCAATTCCCGGTTTAGTGAATCAAATTGAAATGATTTTGCATTTCCGTTCCGGTTTTGTTATCGCACATTTCTCTTTGTATAGTAATCAAATTTCAAATACCAGAAAGAATAAAAAATTCTCGTTGATCATGTTGAACAATCTCAGGGTTAGATTTCTTCAGTTCTCAAGAAACACCACAAAGTTGCGATTTTCCACTTGTTCAGTATCGTATACAGTTTCTGATGATTTCCATGAACAATCATCCTCCTTGTCGGAATCTTCTCACATCTCTGTCTCTAAAGACACCGGAGATTACATCTCAGCGATTCTTAGCTGCAAAAACGTCATTGACATTGGGAAAATACATGCCCAAGTAATCGTCAATGGGTTTTTACAGGAGCTTACTATTGCAAACAAGCTGCTTTACATATACGCGCAATACAGAGCAATATCTGATGCAGAGGAACTGTTCGAAGAAATGAGCGTTAAGGATTCGGTGTCTTGGAGTGTAATGGTTGGTGGGTTTGCGAAAACTGGTGATTTTTTCAACTGTTTGCGAGTTTTTAGCCAGATTGTTCGTTTAAGATTGAATCTTGATAATTACACATTGCCCATTGTGATTAGGGCTTGTAGAGAGAAGAAAGATGTTGTTGTAGGTAGATTGATTCATGAAGTAGCGTTGAAGTCTGGTATGGATTTGGACTTTTATGTTTGTGCTGCGCTTGTTGATATGTATGCGAAATGCGGGATGATCGATGATGCGTGTAAACTGTTCGATGGAATGCCTAGGAGAGACCTTGTGACTTGGACGGTGATGATTGGTGCTTATGCGGATTCAGGGAGGCCTGATGAATCATGGGTTTTATTTGAACGGATGAGGAATGAAGGAGTTGTTCCTGATAGAGTTGCAATTGTTACCATTGTTAACGCTTGTGCTAAGCTCGGTGTTTTGCACAAGGCAGTGATTCTTAGTGATTATATTCGCTTGATGAATGTTCCTTTTGGTGTGGTTTTGGGGACAGCTCTGATTGATATGCACGCAAAGTGTGGAAACGTTGATGCTGCAAGAGAAGTATTTGAATCAATGAAAGAGAGAAATGTTATTTCTTGGAGCTCGATGATTGCAGCGTATGGGTATCACGGGAAAGCAACAGAGGCTCTTGAGTTGTTTCAAATGATGTTAGATAGAAGATTATCTCCCAATGAAATCACTTTCGTATCACTGCTTAATGCTTGCAGCCACGCAGGATTTGTCGAAGAAGGCCTCAAGATATTTGATCTGATGCCAGTGTACGGCATTAGGCCAAATGTGAAACACTATTCTTGTATGATCGATCTCTTGGGTCGAGCTGGTAGACTCGATGAGGCTAGTAACCTGATTGAAACCATGTCGGTTGAAAAAGATGAAACTTTATGGGGTTCTTTTCTCGGCGCTTGCAGAATTCATAAGAATGTAGAAATGGCAGAGAAAGCAGCTATCTCATTGCTTGAACTACAGCCACAGAACCCAGGTCACTACATTTTACTCTCTAATATTTATGCAAACGACGGTAAATGGGAGGAGGTTGCGAAAATTAGGAACTTGATGAACCAAAGGGGATTAAAGAAATTCCCCGGTTATACTTGGATTGAAGCTGATAACACAACACATAAGTTTAAGGTTGGGGATAGGACTCATCCTATGTCTAAGGAGATTTATGAGTCTCTCAGGAATCTGACTGAAAAGCTTGAGAAGGCGGGTTATGTTCCGGATACAAATTTTGTGTTGCACGATGTCGATGAAAAGGTTAAAGTCGGGATGTTATCTTTACATAGTGAAAAGCTAGCGCTAGCGTTTGGTTTGATCTCGACTCCAGATGGTAGTCTCTTAAGAATCACAAAGAATCTCAGGGTTTGCGGTGATTGCCATAGTTTTTTCAAGTTTGCATCACTGGTTACAAGGCGGGAGGTTATCGTAAGAGATGCGAATCGGTTCCATTGCTTCAAGGAAGGTTCTTGCTCGTGTGGAGACTATTGGTAACTTCAACTTGTTTCCTTCTTGTAACAAGAAAGTTGAATCATAAGACAATGATTCATTATAGTTTTGACAATTCTACAAAGAGATCAAACCTATTGACCAAAATAATTTGGGATAATAAAGAGTTGTTAAAACTGTATTAAAATGACGACAAAAGGTCAACTTACAAAGCCACATTGTTAATCTAATTTTAGCGTGAGATTAAGATTATTTTCCGGATCAATATTATCTTCAAAGTCGTCTATTTTTCTCCCCTCTTTTCTTCTATATATAAACATTGCATCAAAAAACTATTTTTCTTCATCACAGAAGTCTCTCTCTCTTTTTAAACGTATACAAACAAATTTAATAACACAATTAAAGAAACTCAATATAAATTGTTGTGATCATAGAGTTTTCTTGCACCAATGAGTGATTCAAAGATTGTTTCTGTGTTACTATTGTTTGTATTAATCAATTTAAGCAATAATGGCGTCGATGCACTTCACAATGTTTACAAAAGATTGCAATCTAAATCGACGTCGTTGGAGGTAGTGAGTCCTCTTCACAGAACGGCCTTTCACTTTCAACCTCCTCGCCATTGGATCAACGGTACATTCACATTTTATTCAAAGTTCATATTTATTTCGTCGTATTATTAGTTAAGAACAATCAAGCGGTAGTGATCTAGTGGTAAGACTCCCCTTCTGGTTCTATTCTCCTTTGGAACTATTTCGCTAGATTTTGCAAAGATTAAATTTACATATGGAAGTTGATTAAGGGTATATATCAAACCAAATATATTTTGTTCTAACGTATGTTTCCTTGTTTTGCCATATATATCTTCTTCGTGACATTCTCAACTCCAACAGATCCAAATGGTAATTGTCAATCACAAATAATTTTCTTTTTATAAGTTGTTAATAAAAAATGATTTAATGTAACGATATTCAAAAATGAAATAGGTCCAATGGTCTACAAGGGAGTCTACCATCTCTTCTACCAATACAATCCCAAAGGTGCGGTTTGGGGTAACATTGTGTGGGCGCATTCGGTTTCTAAGGACTTGATCAATTGGGAAGCCCTTGAACCGGCCATTTACCCATCCAAATGGTTTGACATCAACGGTACATGGTCCGGTTCAGCTACCCACGTACCCGGAAAAGGCCCGGTTATCCTCTACACCGGTATCACCGAGAACCAAACTCAGATTCAAAACTATGCCATTCCCCAAGACCTTTCTGACCCTTACCTCAAGAAATGGATTAAACCGGACGATAACCCAATCGTAAGGCCCGGCCATGGAGAGAATGGATCCGCTTTCCGTGACCCAACCACGGCTTGGTTTAACAAAAAAGATGGGTATTGGAGAATGCTTGTGGGATCAAAGAAGAAGCATAGAGGAATCGCTTATATGTACAAAAGTCGTGACTTCAAGAAATGGGTCAAAACCAAACGTCCCATTCACTCAAGGAAAGCTACCGGTATGTGGGAATGTCCTGATTTCTTCCCCGTATCCATCTCCAACAAAACCGGTTTGGACTTCAGCTACGACGGTCCAAACATCAAGCATGTGTTGAAGGTTAGCTTGGACTTGACCCGGTACGAGTACTACACTCTTGGAAAGTATGATACCAAGAAGGACCGTTACAGACCGGACGGTACCACTCCTGATGGTTGGGATGGTTTGAGATATGACTATGGTAACTTCTATGCGTCAAAGACATTCTTTGATGACATGAACAAGAGGAGAATTCTTTGGGGTTGGGCCAATGAATCCGACACCGTTCAAGATGATACCTTGAAGGGTTGGGCCGGAGTTCAGCTTATCCCAAGAACAATCTTGCTTGACTCGAGTGGTAAGCAACTCGTGTTTTGGCCTATTGAAGAGATTGAGTCATTGAGAGGAAAGAATGTCCAAATGAAAAACAAGAAAATGGAGATGGGCCAACGCTTTGAAGTCCAAGGAATCACTCCTGCTCAGGTAAAGTATAATGCTTTCATAATAAATATTCGTCAAACTTTAGAATTTAGAGTTTGAGACATAGCAATTGAATGTGAATACAGGTGGATGTGGATGTGACATTCAACGTTGGAAGTCTAGAGAAGGCAGAAAAATTCGACCCGAGCTTTGCAACAAAACCACTAGAGTTATGTGACATGAAGGGTTCAAATGTGACCGGAGGGGTTGGACCTTTTGGTTTGATCACCTTGGCTACATCTGACCTAGAAGAATACACTCCTGTCTTCTTCAGAGTTTTCAAAGATGCCACAACCAACAAGCCTAAGGTCCTCATGTGCTCTGACGCAAAGCCGTAGGTTTTCCTAACTCACTAGTTATCATCATATATCAACATAAAATTCGGTTTTACGTGCTTATATATTTAGAACTAGATTTCTAACAATTAATTACCCCATAAATATCGACAGTTCGACTCTCAAAAGAGACACCGGTTCTGACCAAAAGGAGAGGATGTACAAACCGTCGTTTGCTGGTTTTGTCGATGTCGATCTCGCTGATGGAAAGATCTCTCTAAGGAGTTTGGTACGTCACAAATGAATTCCTTTTTTTTTTTGTGAACATTTGCGTATTATGTAATAGATTGGTACTAATTAGTAACAAAATGCAGATTGATCACTCGGTGGTGGAGAGCTTCGGAGCAAAAGGAAAGACAGTGATAACATCTCGAGTGTACCCAACAAAAGCAGTAGGAGATAAAGCTCATTTGTTTGTCTTCAACAATGGGTCACAGCCTGTGACCGTAGAGAGCCTCAATGCATGGAACATGCAGAAGCCTATGAAGATGAACCAAGGAGCTCAATGATCACTCTTAATTCCTTTGATTACTAAATTTCATTAATTTGTTAAAAAGAGAAAGAGAGAGAGACTCTGTGACAGAATAAATAGAAGAAGAAACTTATTTTGTTTCTTTTTCAATCAATTCGTTTGTACATAGTCCATTTCTTAGATGGACTAGAAAATCTCAATAAAATCACCCTTTAAAAAAAAAAAAAATACACTAGACAAACCGTGTTATTTACATTATGCATAGACGAATTTGATAAAACATTCAGCCAAGACAATGTTTACCGTTTACGATAGATTCTGACATATTCGATCTGTTGCGAGAGAGAATGCTCCGTTTCTCTGCAAGATGTAGAAAGCTAAGATATTTTGTAAGCTTTCATCGAGAGATGCGACCCATACAATTGCGAGAGAGGGAGAAATGTGGGTGGAGACTGGAGAGAGTGGAGACTAGTGAAGATGCTAAGAAAGCTATGACATTTAGAGGAAAATGGTCCCAAGCTGATCATAGATGAGAAACAGGATTTGAAGTTAGTAAGTTGAAACTGAAAAAAAGACCATTCCACAATAGAATAATAATAGACATGTGCAGAAGAAGCACAAGAGAGATCTCATGAGCTATATTTGGTTTCTTCTTTACAAGCAGAGAGATCAAAAGCATCTCCACTGGTTGCCATTAACAAATATGTTTCAACATTGATTAAAAGAGTAGATGTTCTGGTTTCGTTATTGCGATTAAGGGACTTCACATATTTTAATGGTAGTTTTAGAGAGCACAAATATTTTGGAACCTGAATTAATAGAAAACGAAATCCTTTTACTGATATCATCTTTTAACATAAAAATCCACTGAAACAAAACAAACGTTATGAAAACCACTTCAACAACAAAATCAGATTCTTGAAACAGAGTCTACTTGATCTTCTTCTTAGGCCTCAACTGCAAAATAAGATATAAACAAAAAAAAATGTTAATCAGATAACTCTCAAACAACAGACAACCCGAATAGATCGAAAAACGCAAAATTAACAAAAACCAAAYCTGGTTGCTATGGCCACACTTCTTCTTCCTGCAGTTCACAGCCCTTGGGTGAAGACGAGCATAGCACCTAACAACAAATGCGACAAAACATCAGAATAATCTCAATTACAAAACTTGTAGACATTCAGACACCAAAATAAGACAGAAATAACAACACAACAATCCAATCAGCAATTGGTATAACTAAACTCTCTTTCACATTAAAAATATGGACATTCAAATGAAATGATTCAGCAAAAGTTATTAATCATCAATACATTTGCAAACCATACACTAAAATGAGCATTTGAACATCCAAATATAACCATTTCATAACTATACCATTCAAGACAAACCATCACACACATTTTGATATTCCATAAATAATCATATGCATAAATGTACCATTCAAGAAAATCATCTGGAAAGATGAGAAATTTGACCAGCTGATAAAGTTTAGAGAATGGAAAAATGTTGATATTGGGAACATTTATAACCTCACACGCATTGTAACTGGCTTGAGAAGCTAAGTTAATTCCCAAAAACCCTAAATCCGAAACTAAATTCATCAAAACATTTGAAATGGTAAAGAGTTTGAAATCTTACTTGCGGCAAATCATCTTGTCTTGGTTGTACTTACGAGCCAACATCATCAAAGAAGGCTCAATGATACCTCCTCTAAGCCTCAACACAAGATGAAGCGTCGATTCTGATTACAGAACCGATAACAATGATCAGTGAAATGAATAATCGAAACAATCAGTGAAATCATTTGATGAAATTTTGTACCTTTCTGAATGTTGTAGTCAGCCAAAGTACGACCATCTTCGAGCTGTTTTCCGGCGAAGATCAACCTCTGCTGATCCGGAGGGATTCCTAAAGAGGAGAGCAACAGTGAGCGATTAGAGATCTGATTTCACACTAAAAAGAAGGAATCGAAGAGGAGAATTTCAGATTTTACCTTCTTTGTCTTGGATCTTGGCTTTGACATTGTCGATGGTGTCGCTGCTCTCGACCTCGAGAGTGATGGTCTTACCTGTTAGGGTTTTCACGAAGATCTGCATTTTTGTGGGTTCGGCTTTCCAGTAACCCTAGAGAAGAAAGACGAGCTTTTTATATCTTTGTAGTAAAAGTAGTCTAGGGTTTTAGTATATTAATGGGCTGGGCCATATTATGATTTAAAAGGCCCATGAGAACACTTAAAATAATTTAAAAGGCCCATAAGAAAACTTAAAATAAAGGTTAAGGATCTAAACTACTTATGTCATTTTGTAGTAGGTTCCAAAATTAAAAGTTTATAAAAAGAGGTTTCGATTTATTTTCGGCTAAGTAACAGATTACTTCGAGTATATCATTGGCATAATAAACCTCACCAAATACCAACCAACCAGTCAATTTTGGATTTGATTGGTTTAAAACACGAAATATGTAATTATGTTTGTTATAAATGTTTTGGTAAAAATACTCAATTGCAGTATACTGTGTTATCTTTTGACTTAGTGATGTTGATCTCAATTTCCTTGTCTTCTATTTAGTCACCTCGTTAACAAATTCAGTTCATGAAAATCCACGAAGATGTTTATAAGAAAAATGACAACCAAATTTTAAATATCTTAATAATCTTATGGTCATATAGCAGAAGATTCAAAGCTGTTCGAAGCTGAGACTATAACAACTCATAGTAATTCCAAAACACTTTTGAATCTAACAA